CCCTGACTCCAAGCAGCTTGTGCTTATAGTTTCATTGCGTTGCACAGATCCTGGCAGGCCGAGAGATGGCAGCCAAGACATCATCTATGCTGAATATGATGAATCAAATACAGGAAACAATTTCACAGTATGCCATAAGATACTGCCTTAGTAAATGTCACTCAGAAAGACAGAATATTCTCTATTATTAAAAATTAAGTATTTTGTTTTCCTTAAGATCAGGAACAAGACAAGAGTGTCCACTTTCACCACTTCTATTCAAGACAGTTTTGGAAGTCCTACCATCAGACAAGAAAATAAATAAAAGACATCTAATTAGAAAGGGTGCATATGGCCCAGTCAGTGTGGCTCGGTGGTTGAGCGTTGACCCGTGCACCAAGAAGTCACCGGTTCAATTCTCAGTCAGGGTACATGCCCAGGTTGAGGGCCCGATCCCCAGTGGGGGGCATGCAGGAGGTGGGCAGTCGATGTTCTCTCTCATTGATGTTTCTATCTGTCTCTCCCTTCCTCTCTCTCTAAAATCAATACAAATAAATAAATAAATAAATAAATAAATAAAATCTTCCATTAAAAACAAAAAGAAAGTGTGCATATCACATGATATTATACAGACAGAACTTTAGAGAGTCCACAAAGAGACTATTAGAACTGAAAAATAAATTCAGTAAAGGTAGCGTGTTAAAAAACTAATCTTCAGCCCTGGCCGGTTTGGCTCAGCGGTTAGAGCGTCGGCCTGCAGTCTGGAGAGACCTGTGTTCGGTTCCTGCTAAGGGCATGTACCTCGGTTGCAATTTATCCCCAGCCCTGGTTGGGTTGTGCAGGTGGCGGCCACTCGATGTGTCCCTTTCACGTCGATGTTTCTCTCTCTCTCTCTTCCTCTCTCTCTCTCTCCCACTCTCTTTGAACAAAAAATTGAAAAATGTCCTCAGGTGAGGATAAAAACAAAACAAAACTAATCTTCAGCTATTGATAGCATTTAAAATTTTTTTTTTAAATTCGCACCCAAGATTATGTTTATTGGTTTTAGAAAGAGGAAAGGAAAAAAAGAGAAAGAGAAAAATATCAGTCAGTTGCCCCCCTTTTGCGCCCCGACCAAGGGTCAGACACACAACCAAGATATGTGCCCTGACAGGGAACAGAACCTGAAACCTTTTGGTGCATGGAACAACGCTCCAACCAACTGAGCACCCAACCAGAGCTCGGTAGCATTTTTATACACCAAAAACACACAGAAAGAGAAATTAAAAAAACAATTCCATTTAAAATTTCATTTAAAAATATAAAATACCTAGGAATAAATTTAACCAAGGAGGTAAAAGACCTGAACTCAGAAAATTATAAGACACTGTAGAAAAAAACTGAAGAAGATACAAATTAATAGAAGCATATACTATGCTGATGGATAGAACTAAATAACCTAAGCCTGCCGGTGTGGCTCAGTGGTTGAACGTTGACCCATGCACTAAGAAGTTGCTGGTTCGATTCCCAGCCGGGGCACATGCCCAGGTTGTGGGCCAAATCCCCAGTGGGGGCCATGCAGGAGGCAGCCGATCGATGTTCTCTCTCATCGATGTTTGTATCTCTCTCCCTCTCCCTTCCTCTCTCTCTAAAATCAATAAAGAAAAAAGAATTTTTTAAAGTAATTAACCTTGTTAAAATGTTTATACTATTGGAATCAATCTAGATTCAATGCAATCCCTATCAAAATACCATTGGCATTTTTCACAGAACTAGAAATAATAAATCTAAAATATATAAGGAATCACAAAAGACCTTGACTATCTACAACAATCTTGAAAAAGATGAACAAATTTGAAATTATCACGCTATGTGATATCAAACAATACTAAAAGGCTATAGTGATCACAAGAGCATAGTAGCTATCAGAGGGGAGGGCACTGGGGACTGGGTGAGAAGGGGAAAGGGTTAGGCAGAGGGAAAACAAAAAGAAATACTCATGGCTCTGGCTGTTGGAACATCACTCGAGGACCAAAGAGTCACGGGTTCGATTCCGGTCAAGGGCACGTACCTCGGCTGCGGTTCGATCCCTGGCCCTGATTGGGGTCGTGCAGCAACCAGTCAATGTGTCTCCCTCGAGTAGATGTTTCTCTCTCTCTCTCCCTCCCACTCTGTCTAAAGATAGATAAAAAATATCCCTGGGTGAGGATTTTTAAAAAGTAAGAAATACTCATGGCCCTGGCCAGGTTGGCTCAGCGGTTGAGCGACGGCCTTTGGATCAGAGAGTCCCAGGTTCGGTTCCCTCTAGGAGCACATACCACCAAAAAAAATATATATATATGTACTCATGGACACAGACAACAGTATGGTGATTGCCAGAGGGAGGGAGGTCAGTAGGAAGAAAAGGGGCTCAGCTGGTAAGCTGGGTGAGGGGAAGAAAGCTAGTATGACTTCAAATCCTAGAAAACATGTTGGGAATCTTCCCCAGGTAGCAGACTAGAGGTCTTCTAGGCACAAAGAGAGAAGAAACAGACTTGAGAAATCTGTGTGGTACCTCTGTCCCCCGTTCTCTCCTTCACCCATTGGGTAGCCGCAGCGATGCTCTCTGTCTTGGTGACATCCAGGATCACTGTCTCCAGCCTGTCTGACGTCTGGCCCCTCAGCTGCTCAGCCCCCTTCTCTGTCAGACATGCAGCCAGCACCCTCAAGCCTCGCAGATCCAGCTGCCGGGCCAGCAGGTTTCCGAAGCCCGAGTCACAGCCCGTGATAAGGACATACTTGTCTTGGAGGCGGCTCACCACCTGTCTCTCCCGGTACCAGCGCAGAAGGTAGTAGAGGCCCACGAGAGTCGCCAGGTACAGCCACATGGCTTTGCAGAGGATATGCGGCAGGGAAGGGGGAAACAAGAACGTGGTCAGTGTTCAGTCAGGAGAACTAAGACTGTACAGGGTATGAGTTGGCACATCCACCTCCAGGCTCTCTGACGTGGAGTCCTCTGGTTCTTCCTATTCAGTGTGGTTGATAACTATTAATGATTCTTGCTCAGTCCCCTATGATCTTTGGTATACTTACACTCTTTGTAATAGATAAGATTGCATTTTTCAGGCAACCTCTTGCCCTGAGGATAGTTTTCCCAACCACCTTCTCCTGGTTCTCCCACTCTTCACTCTTTCCCTCCACCCGCCTCTCCCCACATCAACCTGCCCTAAATTGGAGCAACCTATGTTCAAGGTCTCAAGGTCCAGAACTGCCTTCTTACCTTCTTCCTGTTCGTGTCTGGAACCCTTGTCTCCCTGACCTACTGGAGATTTTCACAAAGAGGACACACATTGAATCAAGACACAGGTGAGCTCGATATCCAGCTCTGCTCCACCTACTGTGTGGCCTGGCAGGTAGCATAGCCTTTGAGCCTGGGTTCTTCTCATTTGGCTCAGCACAGAATTCATTCCTGAGAAAACTAAGCTCGGTTTAGAAAACTAAGTTCTAGATTAGAAAGAGAAGGAAAAAGAGTATAAGGTCCTCTGTTGACCTAGAAACGCATAGGGGCAGAAAAATGTTCTGGAGACAGCAGAGGGTGTCTGACTACCTCGGAGGCGAAGAAGAGAAGGGAATGGGGCAGACATGCTCAGTGAAAGCTCTCCTGGCACCTGGGAGGGTGGCAAGGAAGGACCTGTGGAAAGAGGCTCCAACAGCTGTTACCTTCTCACTCCATGAAGATGGCCTGTCCCAGCTCTGGGTGTCTGGTCAAATGGCCCTCGGTTCACCCTGTGCTGAGGCTCTGCCCTGCCAGCCACACATGCAGAATCCACACCCAGACACAGACTCTGGACCCACTTAAATAGGGACCGAGGATGGGTCCTTAACTTCATCAGGAAGGACTGTGAACCCCAATAACTGTGTGCTGGCATGTTGATGATTGGTAAATTATTGTTTTGCTCCATAAATGATGATTGGGAAAGTCACTGTGTGCTCTCCAGCTGAACCTGTTTAGTCAAAGTAACCTCAGTAATTGGAATACTCCCTGAGCCAAGAGATTGTTGGGAGCCGGCTACATGTCTGACAGAGTCGACAGAGCCTGGAGGTCATGAGTGAGACTCACCTCCCCCACAATCTCCAGGTATCAGGCTTGCATTGTGTTCATGCAGCTCAGTGCTAAGTGTGACCCAGTGCACCTTGAAATACCTGGGTGAGCCTGGGTGTAGAGGCACTGGAGAGGGAAGGAGAGGTTTCCTTGAAGAAACCACAGACTCCAATGTCCCAGAACTATGCCGGCAAGCAGAAAAGACAGACGGGGCATAGGTTCAGCCTTTAGTTGTAGCTTGTCCATAGGAGCTTGTCCATGTGTAGTCCTGAAAGTGTGTGTCCCTCAAGGTGGTAGGTGGCAGCAAGATGGCACCAGCTGGTCCTGCAGAAACCAGACTGTCCCCGCTTCCCGGTGTGGCTGTCAGCACCCTCCTAGAAAACCTTCCCAGAACAGAGAAAGAAGAAAGCAAGGAGGAAGAAAATGGCCCTGGAATCACTCAAGGCCACTGACAAGCAAACCCTGACCAGACACCAAATGCTGCTAAAAGATAAATCGTGATTTCTTGGAAGCAACTGGAGATTTTCTTCCTTAGCGACCACAGTCCTTCTACCACAGCGTTTCAAGGGCCAGGAAACAGAGAAATCTCCCAGCACATGTGATTTGTGCTTCACTCTTGTGAGCCCTGGAAGTTATATAACTGCTTGGTGTTTGTCCGGAGCTTCAGAGTCCATTCCAGTTGAGAATAATCACATGAAGTTCAGGAGAGAGCAATAAGAGAGAAAAGTCGTCTCAATGACACTCACTCTCCTGGGAGCTACAGGAACTAGACGAGAAATCCTTCAGAGGCGTGGCAGAAATGGCTTCTCTGATGGCGTCTCACCACTGTGAAGCTCTGCAGGATATCTTTCACAAGGGCAGCAGCTTGGCCAGGCTCCAGGGCACACTTGAGCAATATGAGTGCTGGAACAGAGACACCTGCCCCCTGGCGGCTCCACAGAGTCTTATCGGGGACTTCCCTGAAAAGTCAGAACGTCGCCCAGCCAGTATGTCTCAGTGGTGGAGCGTGGACCCATGCACCAAGAGGTCACCAGTTCGGTTCCCAGTCAGGGCACATGCGGTTGTGGGCCCAATCCCCAGTGTGGGGTGTACAGGATGTGGCCAATCGATGTTCTCTTTCATTAATGTTTTTCTCTCTCTTTCCCTCTCCCTTCCTCTCTCTCTAAAAATCAATAAAAATATATATTTTTAAAAAGTCAGAACAGACTCTACACATTCCCCCTTCTATTCCTTGTCTGGGTCTCTAAAGAGGGGGTTGCATTGTAAACTAAAAAGGGTTCTGGAAAGGGAAGGGAGGGAGGGTTAGTTGTACAAGTTTGTTTCCAATTTTATAGGTACACAGCCCCACTTCCTGGAGTGTGGATCCAAAAACATGGAGATGCACCCCTGCCTTTAGGTGTGAAGGTCTGGCCCTGCAGTCGATGAGAGTTGCTGGTGGAAAGTCATTGACCCAGTGCTCCTCAGAAAGGTCCAGAATAGCCAAAGAAAAGGTTGAGGTCAGTGTCCTTGTGGCACCCCACGGTGTCTCATAGCATGGGTCTCAGCCCCTGACAGGTCCATTGGAGCCTGGAAGGTAGAGCAATGGAGCTCTTCCCAGGGTCTAGGGTGAGGACTTGGGCTGGTTTGCACTGGACTTCTTTTGCAACACCATTGTTCCATCTTGTCAAATTGGCACCCTTGAGTCAGAGTCCATACTTTGGACTCTGAGTGCAGCTCTGACCCCCAAGTACAAGTCCGCCCACATGCAGACAAGCCCACATACGAGTACCCGACATAATGACGTCATCTCGCCAACCCCATCACAAACACCCTGTACAAATACAAGTGTATGTGACAAGGTTGACGCCATAATGTATTTATGCGGACCAGTCACACATGTGTAGAGAGCAGCTACTGTGTAGAAAGCAGCTACTCTGTTAAAAGCAGCTACTGTGTTGAAAGCAACAGTATTGGAGGCAAAACAATACTTTATGAATTATAATTATTGGGCAAATGTAAAATCATGTACTGTAAAATCATCAACTACTGCAGAAATAAAATAGCTGTACCATGGGAACTTAATCTGGATGCTGATTGGTCTTTTTGGCCTCACCCGAGGACATTTTTGCATTTATATTGAGATAGAACAGCAGGGAGAGAGGAAGGAAGAGAGAGACAGAAACATTGATGTCTGAGAGAGACACATCAAGTGGCTGCCATCCACACGACCCCAACTGGGGCCGGGAACAAACTCCAACCGAGGCACATGCCCTTAGCAGGAACCATACCTGGGACTCTCTAATCGCTGAGCCAAACTGGCCAGGGCGAATTTTTTTTTGGCATGTGCCCCTAGAGGGAACCAAATCCAGGACTCTCTGGTCCGCAGGCCAATGCTCCAACTGCTGAGCCAACAGGCCAAGGCTCGGTCTTTTGATATTCAGCTGTGGTTGATGTGAATACTGCCCCCTTGTGATAGAATCAGGTATGTACAAAAAAACAACACAGAATGGTAAATCATGGGAAACTTTAATGAACTTAACTATGCCATGTATCCTCTTTTGTATTGTTAAAGCTATTGTTATATATTATTTTCATTAGCAAACCATACCATAACAATGGATCATGTAGAGAAGAATGTTAACAAAAAAATATATAGTTAGGATTTTTACAGTATGGTTTCACCTCAATAATTACTGCAGGAATTGAGAAACCGCAATGTGTTATTTGTTGTGAACTTCTATCAGGTGAATCTATAAAGCCGAACATACTAAAACAATTTGGATAGCAAGCATCCGAGCTTTGCTGAAAAGGATACCAACTATTTTGGAAGCAAAGCTGATGGACTCAAGAAAACCAGACGATACTGGTGACAAGCACCACAAACAAAACGTAGCAGCCATTGAAGCTTCATATCTCGTGGCACTCAGAATTGCCAGAGCTATGAAACCTCACGCCATTGCTGAGGATTTACTGTTGCCAGTGGCCAAAGACATTGTTCGAGTTATGATCGGAGACCAATTTGTTACAAAATTGAGTGCAATTTCCTTATCTAACGACACTGTCCACAGAAGAATAGATGACATGTCTGCTGATATTCTTGAACAGGTAATCCAGGAAATTAAATCTACTCCACTTCCAATGTTTAGCATCCAGCTTGATGAATCTACAGAGGTTGCAAACTGTTCACAGTTACGGGTTTACATGAGGTCTATTAATGATGGCAACTTTAAAGATGAGTTTCTTTTTTGCAAACCTCTTAAAACAACAACTACTGCACGTGATGCATTTCACACAGTTGGTTCACTTCTGAGAGAACATAAGATCTCTTGGCAAAAGGTTTCTGGTGTTTGCGCAGACGGTGCTCCAGCTATGCTAGGATGTCGATCTGGATTTCAACGTTTGGTACTGAATGACTCACCAAAAGTCATCGGAACTCACTGTATGATTCATCGGCAAATATTAGCAATGAAGGTGCTGCCACAAGAGTTACAAGAAGTAATGAAAAGCATCATAAGTTCTGTCAATTTTGTCAAAGCGAGCACTTTAAATAGATGACTGTTTTTGCAACTGTTCAAGAAGTTACATGTGCCGAACAATGCTCTGCTATCTCACACTGAAGTGAGATGATTGATGACAGGACAAGCTTTAAAACGTGTTTTTGAGCTTTGTGATGAACTCAAAACTTTTTTTTTCAGAAAGTAAGACAGCAGCTCGAAGCACTTTTCAGTGATAAAAGTGCGCTGAAGAAAATAGCTTACTTGGTTAACATCTTTGCCATCTTTAATGAGTTGAATTTATCACTGCAAGGACCAAATACAACATGGCTCGATTTGTCTGTAATGATCTGATCGTTCCAAATGAAACTTCAGCTTTGGCACAAAAAATTGAATGAAAATAAAATTCACACGTTGCCTACCTTATCTGTTTTCTTTGAGGAACATGACATTGAACCAAACCAAAGGATTACAATGATAATTTCTGTGAAAAGATGCTTGCAGACGAAATTTCATCGTACTTTCCAAATATACCTGACACCCCATTTGTACTTGCCAGAAGCCCATTCACAGTCAAAGTTGAAGATGTTCCTGAGACAGCCCAAC